TCTCTCTTAGCATTACAGTCTGATGCATGCAAGTTCTTCCACATTAAGCGCTGTGACACAAGGAGCTGACTGGAAAGTGTAGGGAATTATTATTATTATTATTATTATTGGATTATCAGGGAGATTGTAGAGGAAAGGGATAACAGTAGTGGACAGAACAGTATGTTAGATCTGTTGAGCCTCAACTTGTTGCCGGAAATGGGATTGAATGAAAATGCTATCGGTGATCATGAGACATTGGTTTTGTATGAAACGCGGTATCCTGTCATATATTTAAATAAATATACAACAACGCATATTGAGTCTTTTTATTAAAGTCCTTCCAATTTCTTCAGAAACAAAAGCAGAAGTGAGCAATGATTTGGTGTTGTCTGTTTGGAGACGTTATAATATAAATGCTACTGCAGAATAGTTAAGCCACATCCTTTAACTCTTAAAAATGTCTCCAGCTCTGTTGTTGATAAGCAGTATTTAATCGTATATTACGGCTCACTTGTGAGGGAATGTTGCGACCAAATTGGCTAACGAAGCTAAGTATTTATAATTTGGTGTTCCTTTTAGTATACCATCTACTTTGAACAACATTTTTTAAGATGCCATTTACACCTTTCACCTTTCTGGGTTAAATCTGCTCATCCTCTGTTTTCACTCTTCACACTCTCCCACCTTGCTTCACCTTCTGCAGAGGGGGAAAAAGGGTGGAGTGCCAAACCCCCCTCAAAAACAAGGGCATAAAAACACTTTGATTCAGTAATTCAAAGGCTATTCAGAGACTGTCAATGTGTTATAAAGATTTACAAAAGTATCTGGTGATCTGTTCTAGAGAAGGTAGGTATCAACAGGCATTTTCTCTTTCCCTCTTCTCTGATTTACTGTCCTCTCTCTGTTTTTCAACTTGCTTTCTGACTGCAAAGATCGCCTCCACCAGCATCTTCAGAAAAACCGTCTGCTCACTAATGAACTACGTGTGGCCTTAAATGAGGACTAAATTGTGTGAATGTTTTATGTGTTTTGTGTTTAACGTGTGTTTGACAATCTGATCCAGAGCAAGATCCAAAGCTCTTCCGTTTGCATTGTTCAAGTACAATGCCTGCACTGCTTGAAGTCTGTGTTACTGTTCGTCATGTGTTTTTAAATTAAATGATAATCAGGGATTAACTCAAATATATAATGCTGTAGGCTAGCATTATAATCTTACACAATAACCATATTTTATGGATTGTTGTTGTGCGTATGTGTATTAATAAGATCGTTGTAACCTGTTTGCATGATGGCTTGCACCTCATAGTATGAGCTTGTTTACTTTCTGTCAGTGACTTGTAGGTTTTAATCATTTTTTTTAACCTGAGTGTTGCAGCCAGCTTGATTATTAATTTAAACTGACTCACTTTTGCCTGTTGTGTGAGATTAAAACTTCTTCCTTTTAATGTTCTAACAGAGAAACTGTCACAAGCTAAAGAAGAGAACCTCGGTATGCACCAGATGCTGGACCAGACTCTAATGGAACTGAATAATTTGTGAAAGCACAGTCTGACCCCAAAAGCACTGTGGTTTTGGCTTTTTGTACTTGCACCTTGCTTCACCATAAACCCCTCTTCTCATACCTTGGCCATGGTGGAGATGAAACAGCCAGATGCTTTTCCTATTGCACCGTCCTGCCTTCAGCAGAACTCGACCAACAAGCGAAGCTCAGGGGAAGTAACGCTTAACCATTCCCTTTGATGAAGCCTAAACTGAGAAACAAGATTGTTTTCGCAAGCAACAAGTTTTTAATCTTGTAATGGTGTCCGCCTTTTGCAAACCTTGAGATAGTTCTTTTTTTGACAAGTGGTGAAATGAAATGTGCAACATTGTTTTTAACATCTGCATTGAAGCTGATCTGGTACATTCCATTCCACCTTGATTATGCACATACGAAAGGACAAAGTGGAGAGATTTTGCTCTTGGTTAAACATTATGCACATTTTGAATTTTGTAAGACAAATTATGTTTAAAAGATGTATGCTTTCCTATAAGAAGCTTTTATCACTAGTGTAAGTATACACTGACTACACCTGTCAGCTTGTATACTGGTGCTATAGTATTGTTTAGCAGTGACGGAAAATGCTAATGCATTACATTCCTATTCTTTAAACCATAGTTCAACATTTTTTCATCTTGTCTCTAAAGTATGATTCCAGTCATCTGGTTGTGCATTTTATTAGTGTAGATGTCTCAAGTGTTTATCATATCTGAAATGTACAAATTATAAAAATTAATAAAAGCACGTTCTGAAAGTTTTCTAACTTTGTTTTTGATGCATACATATAGTGTTTTTGTCCATCATAGTGATGACCGAAATTGAAGGCCTTTATACATTTTTGGGGTGATTGAATAAAACCTGATCCATGCAGAGGAAAAGGCAATGTATTCGGGAGACTTCATCTTCCCCCAAAGAGGTGTCGAATGCATTAAATGTTCTGAACAAATGGAGATCTGTTCATTTTGCAGCCTGATTGCATTACGCCTGGCTCCCTTTTTGCCTGGCCTTTCAGTTGGACTTCCAGCTGGGGAAAAACATGGTCATGTGTCTCCTTGGTTCACTGGAGCTCACTAAGCATCACTGGGCAATATCACTTCAGTTTAAGAATAACCAAACCATGTACAGTAGCAATGTTGAAAAGAACTGCCTTTGGTTGAGTAAAAATAGTAAAATCATAGAAGAGGGGGGGGGGGGGGGGATAAGGGTTTTGTATTAAGTCTTCTGTTTCAAATAAAGTGAAACAATTTTATATTACGTTTGAGTCACTGGGTAAAACGACGTGGAAATTATTGAAAAAAAGACAATACAATTATGTAAATAAATGTAGCTTTATTGTCCCTGAAAGGCCTTTGTTGTTCATAGTAACCCAAATAAATGGGAGAAATAGGTACATTAACCAACAACAAAAACACTATCAGCATTAAGAAACTACTGCACAATACTGCAGATAGGCCTACTATAAAAAACAACAAATAATAGCAAACATTAGAATCTCTAAAATCCAATATAAAGAGGTGTATTCTGTGTTTTCTTAATAGTGATACATTTGGTTAGAAAATGTCACTGGTTTACATTTTAATGCCTGAGGCCTGTACTACGAAGCCGGATTTTCGCTTAGCCGGCTGACTTCAGGGAAATCTCGGGCTTTCCGGTCCTACGACGCTGGTTCTCTTTTTAGCAGGCTAGATTTCCATGGTAACTTATGCTGAGCGGCAAACCTGCTCCGGAGCAGGTTAGGTGGCAGGCTAAGAGATCAACTCAGTGAAAGCACCGCCTGCTGACCAATCAGAGCTCCGTGTGCGGAGTTTAAAGCGATCAATTCATATTACAGGATAGAGGAAATACAGAAAAACTGCCGTTGCAGGAAAGACGGCCGGCCAAAATCAACTGACTGTGTGTGAACGTGAAAATTAATAGAATATCCCCTCCCATCTTCAGAGCAATCTGACTATTATAATATTAGCGTTAAGAAAGCTTACTTAAATATCTGCCACGACATAAGTAACCGGATCAGAGTAACATTAAGTACAGTCCGCGGCACTGTACTGCACTGTGTTCCATTATCATTCATATCATATCACATCATAATGTATCATATATTTCCTTATTTGAGTCAGCTTCTTGAGCCGTATCTGGCCGTGCAACACTCACAGTGTCACATACTGTATGCAGAAGTATTATTTTAAGTAACACATTAAGTTGACGAAACACTCGAGTCAAATTCTCCTAATTAAAGTCAGATCCACTCGTGTATTGGACGGGGGAGTGATTTCATAAACCTGTTAATGTACGCATTCAAACGCTTTTTCTTTTACCAGCTGTATTCACCTTGCAGGTGCAGCTATGTGGCTTTTATCCTGGATAAAGTGTTTAAGTCATGGATGTTTAAAGTTTAACTTCTTCATATTTGACTAATATTAAAGTTAACTTTTCATTCAGGAAGTATGACGCTGCGCTGTCAGTATGCTTGTCCGTGTTTGAGATTGGTCGAATGCTCCAAATACCACCCCTTTCATGTGAACGCGCACCTAACTAGATAGGACACGGCTGGCTTGAGCGATCCACTTGATAACCAGCGTCGTAGGACAGTTTAGCCAGAGCGCGTATGTTTTGGATTGGGCCAACCGGCTAACTCAAACATATCCAGGTTAAGTTGAACCAGCTTCGTAGTACAGGCCTCTGGTCTGTTATTTTTCTAAATATTTATGAAAAATTAATGATATTTTTTCAATAATTTCCACGTTTTGGGACCCAGCACCTCAAATGTAATATTACAATTAAGACACACCTTTGTAATTTTTGATTTCTGCAACCAATTTACTAAAAACCAACTAACTAGTCTATTTAGACTATAATAGAAAAATATTATACTCACTTTAATAATATCATTGTGTGATTCGTATTTGCTAATGTTTATCTATATTTACTACTTCTCACACTTCTTAGCTAAGCTTGGGGAAATTCCTTGTTAAGAAGATGTGTTGCTATGTTGTTAGTTACAGTCTATGTGCACCTACAGTATGACCTTCAACTCAGATTAACTTCCTGATATGGCCTCCCTAACTTCCAGAATGCTCCTTTCAGTATCACCAAGCTCAACCCCTCCCTTTCTCCTCTCTCTCTCTCTGTGTTTAAATATGCAAAACAAATTATATTCTTCGTCTTTCACTCGGCAGGCTGTATACTCTCTGTATGATTGACTGGGATTTCTTGAAATAAATCAAATAAGACAAAGACAGCTGAATGGTTTGATTCTCTATCCACACTGACTAACTCATACAATAACGAGTTTAACAAGAAGTTGAATTTCATTTTAAAATCCAGTATCGTGTGAAAATGAACACTCCCAGACTTACAAAAGTATAATTAAAATGGTCAAGTCCATTCTTGTTATGGGGTGAATCGATGAATCCTCCCTCGCTCGATTTTGTCTGAATTGTGATTTGATTCGTTTGGTCTGGCTCGTAGATGCAAAAAAATCAAAACAACAACGGACAGTTAAATTGCCACCAGAAGGCAGAAGAAGCAGCGATGTCACGACTCTTTTTACCAAATCGTTTTTGTGCCAAATGTTCCCTAATAACAGCGCGTGGGTATAATGCATTTCCACCGCGAGCCGTAGCGCGTTACAAGCAGCATCAGTCAGATAAACTGAGTGCTTTTATTCAACAGAGACGATATGGCGGAGAGGCAAATCCAGCGTTTTTTAAATACAGGTCAAAGTCCCGGATTTGGGTATGTGGGGTCGGTGTGGGGATTGCTATAGCTGTCTGGTTGAAATACAACGCAGTCACATCCAGCAGTTCCTGTGATGATACAGTGAAGGAGGCTCAGCGGACTGATCGATACAGCGCTGCCATAAAAGTTAGCAGGGACCTGGTGGAGCGGATCAAGGTAAGCATGGAGGTAGGCAAACACACCAATGGACATTTACTCAAGTAGGCCTACTGTACTAAAGTACAATTTTGAGAGACGTGCAGTTTACTACGACGCTGAAGTTGGCTTCCGATTCAGAGCTTCCGATTCGGCAGTTAAGGGGAAAGTTAAGGGACATTTAATTTACAGCGCTGAGCGAACAATCCTCCTTGTTTGTACCTCTTCGCTGCATAGCCGATTTATTGCTTTTTTCGCATCTAGACCACATTAGACCAGATCTAAAACCACTATACCTAGACTCATCAAATCTGGACTAGATTATCCCAGAGAGTCTAAACATTCTTTATAACACAGTTTTAGATTTGTGAAACCTTAATTCTATTTGTGAAAATGCAACTGAGGGAAATTTGATTTTTCAACATTTGTATTGAGAAAGTCCATGTCTCTCCATTTCATTTTTCGTCTGCATTATCATGTCTTCTTTTTCACTTTGAAACAACAATTTCAAGAGTGCATTACCATGGTATGCACTCTTGAAATTGTTGAAACTGAGTTTATACTGTAGATGCGAAAAGATGCGAAAAAAGCAGCGAAATCTTCTGAGTTGCTCCTGACTGGGCTGCTGTGCAGGTCTACAGTATAAACTCTATGGATGATGGGGTAATGAGGATCATGTCTGCAGGCATTTGGGAGGTCAGGGGACTGCAAAGGTAGGAACACGATGAGGGCAAATGGTGGGAAGGAGAGGAAGAGCAGGGTCTGAAATTATGGCAGGTGTTAGTGGCAGATAAATGAAAATTATTTATATATTGATAAATGAGACAAAGAATTGACAGAAAGCTTTTTATGAACATTTCTTAGTATATAGCTCAAATGAAGAACAAGCACACTAATGGCTGAATTATGGTTCTTCTAACACAGGCCACAATAACAGCTCTGGATAAAGTCGGAGGTATGCAACTGGCAGAAGCACTAGGAGAGATCGAGTGTGGCCAGTTAGAGGAAAAGTAAAAGAAAAACAGTTGTTTTCTTTTGAAACAATAAATTAGTAATTCACTCTTGAAATTGTTGTTTCAAAGTGAAAAAGAAGACATGATAATGCAACAATACAAATGTTGAAAAATCAAATTTCCCTCAGTTGCATTTTCACAAATAGAATTAAGGTTTCACAAATCTAAAACTGTGTTATAAAGAATGTTGAGCCTCTCTGGGATAATCCAGTCCAGATTTGATGAGTCTAGGTATAGTGGTTTTAGATCAGGACCTGGTCTAATGTGGTCTAGATGTAAAAAAAGCACTGAAATCTCCCTTTTTTTGTATTTTCACAAATGGAATAAAGGTTTTACAAAAACTGCCACTTAACTGCCAATTCGGAAGCTCTGAATCGGAAGCTAACTTCAGCGTCGTCACTAAACTTGAGTAATAAAAAATGTGCTGCTCTGTGTGCCACTACAATTCAATTCAAGGTAAATAGTGTACTTTTACTCCACTACAGTACATGTTCTTTGCAGATTTGGATTAATGATGTGAAATATAATCAACACTTAAGTAAGACTTTAGTTACACCTGGAGTAAATTCACAAGCTACCCTGCAGCATACAAAGTCATTAAAACTGCACCTTTACCAGCGTTGATAACACTTGCATGCATCAATAATTATAATCAAAACATATGATATATTATTCTGAAATGGTCCAATTAGTACTTTACGTATATTTTGATTCTACTATGTTTGTACTTTTACTTGAGTAACATTTTGAATGCAGGACTTTCACTTAAGTACAAGATCTTCTCCCACCAATGCTGCTTGTCTTTTGACGAACTATCCTCTATTTTGCACTCTCCTCCTATGTGACCTCCTGTGTCACCGACTTCTGTTCAGTGTTTCTGTCTGTCTGTCCCCCAGGATGAGGTCGGGGCTCCAGGCCTGGTGGTGGGGGTCTCTGTGGATGGTGCTCATGTCTGGAGTGAAGGTTGGTGCCTGACACTTTAAAGTTAAGTGAAGTAACTTTTAGGTTATAAATTAAACAGGCTGTGGCTCCGGATCCAGCAGTGTTTTAGTCAATCTCACTGGACAAATAGGATACACCTATTTATGGATTTTGGTGCTGTTTTTGCTTTATTGGAATATTCTTAGGAAAATTCATCGGTTTCTTTATTGAAAACTCAAATGTATTCCCAATAGCTTCCATGTCATGTAAACCAGTGATCCCCAATCACTGAGGAATTGTCTAATCACACTGGACAGGTGTAACACCTTCTATTTTTCTTGAATAACATTATTAAAAAATAATTCTTTTTTATTTCACTGGATGAGTAGGACACAACTTTTTTTTTTTTAGTCCATTGTCGTGTAAATCTTATTTATTTTCAATAACTACCATTTCATTTGACCCAAACACCAGATACCAGATATTATGGCTTTGATATACAAACACCCTTTTTATTGGATTTCTATTTGATATAAACATTGTTATGACAATTCAGTCATTTCTTTATTAAAACGTTTGATTTATTTTCAATAGATTTCATGTCACAATACCCAATGACTGCAAATCAATAGAGCATTGTAGACATTGGACAAGTAGGACACACCTCTTTTTATTGGATTTTAGTGCTTCCACTTAAGTTGGACTGAATCCAATAAAGAGAGGTGTCCTACATATCCAATGTAGTACTACAATGCTGTAGTAAATGAGTCACATGGCATGGAAGCTAGTTACATGTGATATGAATTTGGAGGCTCTTGGTCAAGAACATGGAAGCTATTCAAAACCTTTTTCAACATCAAAATGCTGCATTTTTATTCAAATGTTTATATAGAAGATCGATCAACGTTATCCCGAACAGTTAAAAATATGAGAGACAAATCAATTACTGAAAAACAAAAACCTTTAAGCCTTAGCTCTGTTTGCCTTGGAACTCAATGAATTATCTCCTGTTCTCAACTTAGGTGGCATTCTGTTTTAGCTCAAGCCAGAAGAATAATTTCAAATGAAAGTATTAGTGGTTTTTTTTATACATCAAACGGTTTAAAATTGCACCAAATTGAATCTTCAACAACTTTATCTGAAAACACAATGACATTGAATTTAAATTCCTCACGTAATTCAGGGATCGGTTATTCTGATTTGGAGAATCGTGTGCCATGCGGCCCAGGAACAGTGATGCGAATCGCCAGCATCAGTAAACCCCTCACCTCTGCAGCTGCTGCACGGCTCTGTGAGGAGGGGAAACTGGAGCTTGATGTCCCTGTCCAGAAATATGTCCCAGAATTCCCCCAGAAACAATTTGACGGAGAGGATGTAAGTTAAGTGAAAAATATGTCAGATTTTGTTGTTATCCTCAATAATATTGTGCTATTCAGCTCACATGCACATCATTTATTTTAGGTCACAATAACCCCTCGAATGATTCTGTCTCACCTGAGTGGTATCCGGCATTATGAGAAGGATGCTAAGAAAGTGAGGGAGGACAGGGAGAAAGCGAAGCGTCTGTTGAAGGCAGAAAAGAAAGAGGACGAGAAGAGCACATCAGAAAACAATGATAAACCTGCAACTGAACAAGAAAACAAAGGCAAAGAAGCCACTAAGGCTCAGAAGAAAAAAGAGTTTGAACACGAGGAATACTACTTAAAGGACAACTTTGAAGACGTCACTCACGCCTTGGACCTCTTCAAGGATGACCCACTCATTTTCAAACCTGGTAAAACACATACTGTATTTCTTTTTTAAACAACTCAAATATGATTTAAGGTTTTACCATATGTCTGTACATAGGAAAGATTAACTTAATTTGTTTGTTATGTACAGGCACCACTTTCCTGTACTCCACCCATGCCTTCACCCTGCTTAGTGCTGCTATGGAGCGCGCTGATGGAAAGCACTTCCTTGACGTTATGATGAACATGTTCCGTGAGCTGGGAATGCTCAACACTGTTCCCGATGAGAATGACCCTATTATTTACCACCGCTCCAGGTAATCTTTAACAACATCACTGTCAAGTATTGTCCAAAATATTGTGAAGAGTCCCAGTTGTGTTTAGGGGTGATGTATCAGAGTACCACTTTGTAGAGATCTTTATTATTGAAGGTTGTACAACATGATAAAAATGGAACACTAAGTCCATGTAAATCTTTGATGCTGCTCCACAGATATTATCATCTCAACAAGAGAGGACGTATTGTGAACTGCCCATACGTAGACAACTCCTACAAGTGGGCAGGAGGTGGTTTCCTGTCCACCGTGGGGGACCTGCTGCTGTTCGGTAACGCTCTGCTCTTCAGCTACCAGGCGGCCCACCTGAAAGACACTGAGGGCTTGCTCCCTGGCTTCCTCACACCTAATACTGCTATAGATCTGTGGGCACCAGCTGACAGGACAGAGGCCAGCTGGGACAAAGATGGATTGTATGCTCAAGGCTGGCTGGTAGTGGAGAAACTACAGAAGTACAGCCAGTGCAGGAAGCGCAGACATTACGTTTCACACACAGGAGGCGCTGTGGGGGCTAGCAGTGTCCTCCTGGTGCTACCCAGTGAGGAGAAAGATGAGCACCAAGGACAGACCACTCCTCTCCCAAAGGGGGTGGTGGTCACCATCATCGCTAACATGCAGTCTGTGGGACTCAACGGCACAGCACTGAAAATTGCGCATGAGTTTGACAAAGCCAAAAGACTCTAAGAGTAAGTTGTTTACAGACATGCAATAATTTATATTTCACCAAAAAGTATTCAAAACCATACATGACATTTTAATAACTCTATAAAAAACAGTTCACAGGATGTTATAGAAATTAAATAAATATTAAGCTTGTATTTTCTATACCTTTTTACTTTCCATTGCATTTCTTATAAAGATGTCAAGTTGCCACTAGGTGGAAGCAGTTTCCTATGTGCCATAGCAAAAATACCTCACTGGCTCGTGGTATCAGTTTGTTGGCCTAATACAAGGGTTTATGTATATCTATCTTTTAAAAACTAACACAAAAATATGTAAATATATATTTTTCTGCATTTGAAGCGAAAATAACAACCTTTCACAATGGAAAGAGACCGTTGGCCATTTAAAGTACCATGGTCCACCACAAACATCTCCATGTTACATGTAGTGATTTTTTGGGTCCATCCTGAACAGATATTTCCCCATAACAACTTCAAATGCTTTGGGAAAAACCCTGTTGTGTGTTGACCTAAAACTCTTATCAAAAGGGATTTTACTCACTGCTGCCGACTTTCAAGTGTTAAAATTGACTTCAATCACAAGTACAATCCCGACTTTGTCTTTGAAGAAAATGGACAGTTCCCGGTTTCAATGCCTGTATAAGTGTGCTGCAAAACTAGTTTATAAATTATGCTGAGAATTTTACCAAAACATACATTTTGTTTTGTTCTTTCACATTTTGTTGTTAGCAGCTGTAGATAAAACTGGAGGTCCATCAATATTGAAAGACTAACAAACTATTGCCAAAGCAGTCCAACAAGTTTTATTTATCTCCTAACCTCACTGAATTAAGGCAGGTTTGATGCATCCATTATCATTATAATACTCCTGGGATCTCCAGTGCCCTTGTTTATAGGTTTAAGAGGACTGATGAATGGCTTGGGATACACTAATTACACAGACATCCAAATAATGTGTCACTAAGTTTGGTGTGTGTGTGTGTGTGTGTGTGTGTGTGTGTGTGTGTGTGTGTGTGTGTGTGTGTGTGTGTGTGTGTGTGTGTGTGTGTGTGTGTGTGTGTGTGTGTGTGTGTGTGTGTGTGTGTGTGTGTGTGTGTGTGTGTGTGTGTGTGTGTGTGTGTGTGTGTGTGTGTGTGTGTGTGTGTGTGTGTGTGTGTGTGTGTGTGTGTGTGTGTGTGTGTGTGTGTGTGTGTCCTGCACGTCTAGCTTTAAAAGATCCAATTTGGGATTTAAAACTGCAGAGTATCCCTTTTTTAAAGTGAGGTCATCCTGACCAGTCCTGGCTGCTTCAGGGGCAATTATGGTTTAGGGTTAAGATCACATTTAGGATTAGGTTAAGAATAGCCTTAGGTTGAGGTTAGGAATGAAGTACTGATGATTCGGGTCATCGTATGGAGAATGACTAGTTCATTTGTGTGTGTGTGTGTGTGTGTGTGTGTGTGTGTGTGTGTGTGTGTGTGTGTGTGTGTGTGTGTGTGTGTGTGTGTGTGTGTGTGTGTGTGTGTGTGTGTGTGTGTGTGTGTGTGTGTGTGTGTGTGTGTGTGTGTGTGTGTGTGTGTGTGTGTGTGTGTGTGTGTGTGTGTGTGTGTGTGTGTGTGTGTGTGTGTGTGTGTGTGTGTGTGTGTGTGTGTGTGTGTGTGTGTGTGTGTGTGTGTGTGTGTAAACAGAAATCACACAGTCAAATCAGTAGGGGTCATTGCATATATTTACACAATTGCAATATATTTACTAACTGCATACTGAGCATATTCATTACTTGATACAAGGGGTCATTTCATAAATCCATATTTCAAGCTCATATTTTACATAGTCCAACTATGCTTTGTAAATACATTTCAGGCAAAGTACATAGATTGAAATGTGATTTAACACGAGTAACACCAGTGGCAACTTTCATAGCGGTGCTGAAAAAATCTACTGTGCAAGATGTGATTCAATTCCCACCTGCTCACACTTGTTTCACACCCTGTTTGTGTATGTGTGTGTCTGTGTGTTGAAGAATTACACCTCTCTGTAGCAAACAGCATGGACTCCAGATATCTCAGGTGACCATTGATCAGCTCTTCACCTTGACTTTAGTTAAGGTCAGAGAAGCAGTTTTTTCTTTGTTCTTTTGGTCTTATAGTGACACCGAAAACAGTATCATCTCTGAGAAGTCCTTCATTATCCCACCCGACACACAGCCCAAAGACAAACAAATTTGCTCCAGAAGAAAGTCAAACTCTGGGCTGTACTTTCCAATATTCTGTCTTGGGCTTGTTCTGTTGGCTCTGTTGCTTGGCTTTCAACATCCTGCGTGAGGACATAATGGATGGTTATAATCTTTAAAAGAAAACATTCTGGCTTAAGTACAATAATAGCAAATACTGTATAACAAAAAAAAACTTCCACGTCTCAGTGATATTTTTAGTCACCGTGAGAACGTTTTGCAATCATACATCCATACTGTACTTACTTGTGTGTGTAGTAGATCACAACAGCTATCACCACTAAGATGAGGAGGACAACGATGACTACGGCTGCGATTAACCCCGCTTCCCCTGCTTTGCCGGAACTGCTGAAGAGCTGGAACTGCTCACATCGGCTGCCTTTATAATTTTCATCGCAACTGATTTAGGAAAAAAACATAGGGAGGCTGTCAGCACATAGGAAAAGTATCGACAATAATACAATTTTCTAACAACAGATTTTCCAACATGAAATAGATTCCTGAAGACTCATTCTTACATCCAAGATAAGATTCATTCAACTTACACACAGGAGAGAGTATTCATGGCATCGCGTATTTTATAGCACGTCCCTCCATTCATACAATAGGTGGCTTCCTGCCCATCACAAGGGGTTCCATGATCTACACAGACATAATTACATAATTTCAGGTAAAATAGCTTTAATAGATCTCAATAGTCACTCTTTTAGAAGATGTGTTGTTTCTTCTGATCTGTTTTTTGTTATTTTATTACCTGCCATCATTTGGAATGCTTTTTATCACTGTTTCCTGAGAACACAAGAAACATGTTTCAGAAAATAAAGTAACCACTTAGAAAAGCATGAAATGCATATATAAATATACTAACAGTTTCTTGAAGCTAAATTACATCATTAACTTATTGCGTTATGAGTGGAATATATCATCACCCTGACTGAAAATGAATCAAGAAATATGTTCTTACCAGCTCCTTAAAGTCCTGCTTTTGGTAGTTAGTGCAGGTTCCTGAGGTGATTCATAGTGACGCTTCACAATAGCTCCTAACTGCTTTTTGTTGGACTTCTGAAGACGATGTTATGTGGGTGTGATCCTCCCTTGGCTTAAAAATGTTGTGATTGCAGTTTGTCCACATTGTAAATGGCAAGCTAAACGTCAGTGAGTGTAGGTAATTCGTCTGTGTGTGTCATAAATGGTGTCATTTAATGGCATGTGAGCAATACATACAGACTCACCAGAGGCCTAAAGAAGCCTTACAGGAGTCGGTTTGACATCTTTGTTTCAGGTTAAAACTGAGTACATTACATTTCGTTTTTGTTCTCTGAGGTTTAGTTGCATCAGATCAGGCAGAGGATTGCTGATGAAATCACATGTTGTGAATATGAGCTCAGCGTGTTTGGGTTTCAGGAACAGTTGAATGACTGGTATGTAAAGAAGGCATGAATGGAATCGTGGGAACTTTGTTGAAGTCTAAAAACAATCCGCACTTCTTCCTTCAGACAGATAATTACAGTTGGGCGCTCAGAACCGTTAGTTGACTCATCAGCTAATCATTTTGGATTAATCACTACATTCCAGTGACCAGAAGTAAAAATAGCAACACCAAAGTATTAAGTTAAACTATTATAAGTAAAAGTCCTGCATTAGTAATAAGTAAATGTATTGTGACAACAAGGTATTGGAAACAATATATACTTCATTTAAAAAAACTAAACGTTTCATGATGCAACGCAGCTTATCTCATTGTATTATTATTGGATCATTATTGTTGATGTATTTATATGCGAGAAGTAAACCGATGTTTTCGTTTGTCAATATGCAGCCTATTTTAGTTATATAAATATCACATAATACCTTTGGTAGTTAAATCTCTTTAACAATGGATACTATTGAATGAACTGTTCCATCTAAAATCTTGATTAAAAACATATATAAATATATAACATATAATGCAAATACTTATATAAAGTTTCAGTATTTCAAAAACGTAGTTAAGTACATTTCTTGAGTAAATGGCCATTGCTGTTTTCTTGGTAACCATTGCTGTTTTCTTGGTAACACATAGTGTTGTTTTGAGATATTGTGCAATCAGGGCTAGGCTTTTTTTGCATAATATGCATAATTGCGAAGATGCTAAAAACAATAAATGATATTTCTCTTTAGCGTGTACATTTTTGTTAGGCTTTGAAGGCTATTAAGGACCTCATTGACATGCAATAGTTACATTTAATTTAAACAATAATGTTGGTTATAGTTTAACATCAGTTTTATAAGGTTTGTGTTATTCAAACTAATGACTAAATTAATGTTAAAAAAAAATCAATCAATAACTACGCTTTAGTTATAAGAACTAAATAACAATAACTTATGGGTTGGTAGGTTGGTAAATATGATGTTGTCCGGTGTTTGTCACAAGCATAAAACTTTCTCCATCTTAACTCCAAAGTCCAACACGAAGACTACCTTGATGGACCACTTACCCTCCTGAAAACATCTGTGGGAAATCTGGACCAAAATGCATGTGTTTAACATTGCCAACTGTAGACTACACTATTGTACACATTCTTTACCACACATGAATACACAAAAATAATAAGTGTGTATAACTGCAGACTTGATGTTTATTTGATAGTGAGAATCTCATCTAGCATAAATGGATTAATTATTTACTTTCCTCACTGCATTGTAACCAAACAGAGAAGATAAACATCCCAACACACAAGGTTTTTTTTATATCCTGGCAGCCCAAAAGATTCTGCATTTTAATGCAACGGATTTCTGAATCATCTGTAAATGAATGCCAGTATGCAACGTATTAACCATCTATAAAGGGTATCTATGCTAGCATATTTTAATATCACTGACAACACAGATATGTTGCCAACTTGCCATCGTTTCTCCTCTTCCCCTCTCTCGGTGTTTCCGGGCCCTATGCTTGCACTACATTTTTAGGATGCAATTATATAATGTCAGCAGGGCTACGTGGGAATATCGGTGACACTGCATCCTGATAAATAGCATTAAATATATCAGTTAACAGACCACAGAAACACTTGAGGTCACTGTCAGAGTAGTGGTGTGGTTTTGTTTTCGCGCGGGTGGGTTGTTATCGCGAGGAACTCTGAAAGCTCAAGAGGTGAAGTGAAGCGAGAGTGTTTTTCTACTTCGACGGTGGCATAGAAAGAGGGATGTCTGCAGGCTCCCATGGTTTGATAGGAATATATAGGCTACTACATAATATGTGATATTATTGTGTGTGTGTGTGTGTGTGTGTGTGTACATCTCGCCCTGTTTCCTCCGCGATCACGGCGTTGTTTGACACATCTGTAGCCGCTGGAATCCCGTGTTCAGCCCCTGGACAGCTCCTGATCGAGAACCTCTTCTTCTTATTATCGGGCACATGGAGTCCCTGGTGTGAGTGTGGGGGGAAGCCCTGCCAGAACATCATGCCTCCCTCCCGAGAAGGGGTTATCTTGCTGATCCAGTGACAGCCTCGTCGTCTCCGCTGAAGGATGCAGCTTTCAGTCCGGAGGAGGTGTTTTCGTTCTGCGCTGTCTTCTGAGAGGCGATACGGGTGCTGCTCGGCCAACGCAGATTTGAGGGGAATCGCAGCCTACACACAGCAAGATCCGAGCATCCTTCACACTGATCATCATCATAACCATCATCGGCGAGAAGGGAGATATTACCATCATCACCGCGAGGGCAAAGGAGTCACGACCACTTACACAATGTAGAAAACATAAGAGGTTAGTGCGTCTGGATTTAAAGCGCGCTGTGTAGTTGATGCATTTTGTGTTGGTTTGAACAAAAAAGAAGACTGTGTGGCCTCCGTGGGAAAATGTTAACATCTCTATAATTGTTTATGTAGCTACGACGTGGTGGGGGAATTATTGCAAGTGCTTCTTGATTAGGTGAATTGCAGAAAGCATGGACACAGATGGTCCACAGTGCGTGTGTTATTATATGAAATAGTAAAATAGCTGCCTTGTGGACAGCCACCTCCACTGATGGAGCACTTGACTGTAGCCTGTACTTATATTAATAAGAGGCAGCTCAAGATGTTGATTGTTATTCAATCTCCCTCATTTATGTTCAGGTCCAGAAATACTTTGCATTAAATCACAGACAGAAACAAATGGTCGATCCTTCATCCACAGTGATTCCTTGCAGAAAGTGAAGCATCTTGTGTTCTGGCTGTGTGACTTTCTGATAGCCAAATCAATATCGTTTTTGTTTTATTATAAATACCACATGTATAGGGGGTGCTGCAGTGAAACAGTATCACTCTCAGTCCGTGGATGACCTGGGTTAATTTATCCTGAGTAGCATTTAATCTGCTGTGCTTCAGTACATTACTCTGCTGTGGTCTGCTGCAGCTGCTGACTCCTTACCTCTCCACTGCTGGAGATCTTTGCTCTGTCTCTATCCCGATTCCATGAAATATTGTGAAAATTCAAACAACAATGCAAAAATATAATCATTGCAGGTATTTACATCTCCTGGGAGGATCATTTAAGTGTTACTTTAACTTTGCAATACTCAGAACTCTTTTTTTATAGTGGACGTTTCCTGTTAAAGCAGTGCTATGATTGTGTCCTCCCTGTGTGCTCATTCCATGTCGGTCCCTGCAAAGCAGCTGGAGAGAGTTTTCAGTGAGCGGACCTGGACATCAATGGCTCTCTATCCGGTGGCACAAAGAGCATAGCATCCTGCTTTACTTGCTATGCAAGAGGTGTGAGGTTCTCAGCCCCTGATCCACAGAGCGGAGCGTATATTGAAGGAGATTTAAAATCTATTACAGTTTAGTGCTGCCCAGGAAAATAGTTGAACAGAGCATATCTAAAGCTGAAGTCAGGACAGGGCGCCTTCAGGAAAGGCACAAGCACTAATACTTCATTGATCATTTTAAACTGCATTTGTGTTATTAAACTAAACTACAAAGATTTGAGATTATTTTATTATCTTGGAAACAGCAGTTGGCAAAAAGCTGTTCCCATTATATATTTTGCTCTCCCTCAGCAGATGGACGTTGCCCATTATTTGCTTCATGATTTCCTTTTTCTGCAGTAATTAAACTGTTCTTTCATATTTGCTATAGGTTTGGAAGGAGCCAGGTCTCTGGAGTGGTGAAATCACATTTCACACTTTGGGTCATTTAGTGTGGACGGCTATCTTCAACATAGGACCTCAACATGAGCAACCCCCAGTAAGTATAACACCAGCCAGAACCTTGTTTGTTACATATCTGATAGAGTGTACATTCTGAAATATCTGTTAAAGAACAAGCAGTCTCAGCGTGGTAAGGTATGATTATCAGAATGGGACCTCCTGTGGATGACTTTGAACAGGGATCAGCTGGAAAGCGGAGCCTGGCCTCGTCCTGCTCCTCAGATTGAGCGAGAGAGCGGCCTGCCATCTCCAGTCTCCGCTGGCATCTCTTAGCATTCAGCAGGGATGTTCACTTGTCATCTTCTCTTATTAATAATTACTCTGTGTGTGGTCCTCCAGACAGCCCCCTGCATTCTGATGACAGCCAGGGTTGGGGCTAAGAGAATGGGGAAGAAGGAGCAGGGGGGATGGAGTGTAGTGGGAGGAGGTGGAGTGGGGTGGAGGGTGAAAGCAAAATGGGTTCAGTCAGCTGCATCTTCTGGTTAAAGGCACAGGATGCTGCTTCCAACTAGCACATAGCTCTGTCCCGGGCCTCAGACCAGCACATTAGTGCAGATGTTGTGTTTTGTTGGTGTAAAACATCTCTAACCAGAAATAGAGCGGTTAGTACAAAGGCATGATCCAATGCTACTGAATGCTAGCGACTCTCTGTGAAGTGACAGATGGGAAACTCTCGTGCAGAGAGAGTTATTTTCACGCCTGCTCTCTTGACTTGATGCTGCTGTAAATCCGCCTTCTTTCTCTCCTGCACACTCTCTCTCTCCCTTTCTCTCTCTCTCTCCTTAGCCCTGTAGCATCTTTGCTGTGGAAACAGTGGGAGGTAGGATAGGGAAAATATTAGATGATCAAATACAACAAATTCAAAAGGATTAATTTAGCACATTTCACGTAAC